CGCATGAACAGAGAGCAACAATACCCAAAATGCAAAGGTGCAAACAATTGGATGTTTATTGGGGTGAACTTCCAGCAGGCACGATTCCAGTTTCCTTCCTCAGTGTCCCCCTTCCCAGCTCTGACACCACAGAGCCATCCCTGTTCCCGTTCCCTGTTCCCATTCCCCCCTTAGCAAAACATGAATCCAATTTCCCCACCCCCATTCCCTGTTCCCATTCCCCCCCCTTACTTCCTGATTGACTGCAGACTATATAGTAAAACTTGAGTTCTGCTTAGCTATATCTTAACCAATCATTTTACTGAAATTTAACTAATCAATCCTAACATACTGTAACATGGTTATTTAACCAATTATATCTCACCAGCTTAATTGGTTTACACTCAACAAAATTAATTATGCAGCAGACAGAAACAATCACAGAACCAGACAGAGATTATACAAACAATAGGGAAGTGGAGACTACAGTGATAGAACAATACAGAAATGAGGGTTTCACATCCCAGCTATTAATAAGTAAGTTCTTGCCAGACAGGATGCTATCAAAGTAAGTTTCCTTTTACATCTTCTAGGCTCTTCCCTTTCTCTGGAGGTGATAGGAATATCAGGACAGGATTGTATTCCTAACAGCCCAATAGCACCTTATTTCAATGTGACTAGTTTGGAATGTGAGGATGTGACCATACACTTCCCAGTTTATGGCTGGCCTCTGCTTAGCCGAAGGCCTTAGCCTAAGAACCAGGCCTCAGACTGTCACAGTAAGAGAAGGCCCTTACACAGACAGACAGACTGATTTTGATTCTTCTTTTATACCTCTGTAACTAGCTAAGTGATAAGAATACACCTAAAGTCTCAAAGACAGGCCTGAATCTCTATATCCTAACACTCCACCCCTTTTTTTTCTCTTTTTCTTTTGGGATCCTCCTGCCCAGGTATCCCTGGAAAAGCATAGGACACATGGTGACACATTTCCTGATAGGGCCAGGCATCAAGGTGGAAGGTGTGATATTCCACTTGTCCCACTGCCCCTTGTGTAGTACAGTGCCCTGCACCTTCTCTCGTACGGGCATACCACACCTATTCCAGTTAGTGTTCCCATTATACTCCAATTAGACTTCCCATTATAGTGGGCCCGAGAAGGTTGGGTCCGGGTTGTCTTGCACACTGCGGGGTGGGGAGGGCTTACTACATTACTTGTAGGTTATCTCCATATGCAATGTAACACAAGTAGAGTTAACAATCCACAATGCACAGCAGCACTGAGAGTCCTGACCACTGCAGTATGGTCCAACATCCAAGCCACCACCTTCGACAGGGTCAAGATCTTAATGTGTCCATTTGCTGGCAGTTGCAACAAGCTGCCCCTGCAGGTTTTGCGTGCTTTTGTCCACATCATAAGTCTCTTGAATGTCCACAGAAAAATGGGTTATTGTCCAAACAAACTTAACCACTTGGTATGAAATCGGGCAGTATGCCCTGGTTCAATTATTCACAGCATTAAGATTTACAGATCCATTTGAGCACCAAAGTCCAGATAGCAGAGTGTAGATGTGTGTAATTTGGTTAGGGGCTAGTGTAATTGTGTCCCCTAGTAATATGTACATTTCCAGAAAAACACCTCATACACAGTACACCCAATTGTCCACCCCTTGCCATAGGTCATTGATCCTGCTCCTCCATAGTCATAGGAGAGGGGCACATCCAAACATCTTTAATTTACATTATTTTACACACCCCTCCATTGATTCCCAGTGAGCTCCTCCCCTTCTCATTATTTCCATAGGGCTTGTGGGGCCCACCTTAGTTGCTGTTCTATTTCCAGGCACCATGGTAGCTATTACACAGGTGCTATGCTGTCAGTTTCAAGAGCTGCAATGAAGTACAGCTCATGCTCTCGAAATACCGTTGGAGGAGGTGCAGCACAGGCAGCACCACCTGCTGGACATTTTGCACGTGTTGGTACTGGCCAGGGTGGGCCTATTCAACCAGGACACTCTCCAATAGGCACATACTGTGTGCCATCTCCTGCCCATGTGCACCCCCACCCCAAAAGAGGCAGAAAAGAGGTACAGTGTCCTCCCCCTATCCACCCCAACGGTTCCAAGTTTCTATTCTCTCATCCTCTGCCCAGTTCCCTGGTGATTCAGGCTGCTATGGAGTGAGCTAAACAACAGCACCCACACTCCACCCCAGCTGACAAGGAGGGCAAGAGACTGGACCTTATGGCTTGAAAGGTTTTCTTCTCGGACGGCCTCCAGTTCTGGATCTCGAACTGTCTGGCAGTGATGGCCAAGTACGTCTTCTTACAGTATGGACATGGCAAATGAGCTACCTCAACAAGATCATGCCCAATTCCTGTCAAGTCTAGAGGAAGGCAAGTTGGTCGCAAAGTCGATACTTCAGGCTGTGGTTGATTCAGCAGACACATCCTTGTGCATTTTGGTAACTACCGTCGTCATAAGGAGGGAATCCTGGTTTCCCTAGAGAAGTGCAGAACACGATCGAAGATCTCCCTTTTGATGAATCACACCTCTTCAATCAAAAGACGGATGACTCCTTGCCCTCGCTGAAAGATTCCAGAGCCACTCTGCGATCCTTAGGCATATATACATCTGCACCAAAGCAAACGTTTTATCACCTGCTGTCTTCTCCCAGTGTTACAGAAGCCCCAGTTTTACCACCAACAGGCCTATGAACCTCCTCAGAAACATCCTATAGTCCACAGAGCCCATCCACCTGTTCTGACAGTGCAGTCCTCCGCACAACACCATCTGCGTGTAAGCTATATTTCTGAATGCAAGTAGAGAGCCGTCTCACTTTGCCTGCATCCCAAATCACATGCTTTAAATGAGGAACAGCAGCTTCACTTCCTTGATGTACGTAGGTCCCTGGTCTTTTACCTACAAAGGACAAAGCCATTCCTGAAATCTCCCTGGCTATTTGTTGCCATAGCGAAGAGAATTAAAGGGCAGGCCATATCCACCCAGAGAATCTCGAAGTGGGTCTGAGGGTGAATTGAGCTCTGCTATCAATTATCAGGATGGTCCCAACCAGGTGGGATATGGGCCTATTCCACGAGAGTGCCAGCATCGACTACTGCCGGGCTCCATGACGTGACCCTTATGGACATATATGAGGCGGCCACGTGGAGTTGGCTGTGCATCTTTTCTTCTCCTTATGCTGCAGAGTGTAATTCTGTGGCAGACAGCTCATTCGGTGCAAAGATGCTCCACTTCACAGTTCCGTCGTCTTCCTCTAACCCTCTGCCTATCTAGGTACTGCTCGTTACTCACCCTCGGTGGAATACAATAGGGACCATCACTCCAAGAAGAAAAGGAGCCTCCTCTAGTACGTTACTACCCTGCTCCGGAAGTGCTGATCTTTGTAGGGAGTATGATAGAGGTATATAAAATCATGAGTGGTGTGGAGAAAGTGAATAAGGAAATGTTATTTACTTATTCTCATAATATAAGAACTAGGGGCCACCAAATGAAATTAATGGGCAGCAGGTTTAAAACAAATAACAGGAAGTTCTTCTTCACACAGCGCACAGTCAACCTGTGGAACTCCTTGCCTGAGGAGGTTGTGAAGGCTAGGACTATAACAGGGTTTAAAAGAGAACTGGATAAACTCATGGAGGTTAAGTCCGTTAATGACTATTAGCCAGGATGGGTAAGGAATGGTGTCCCTAGCCTGTGTCTGTCAGAGGGTGGAGATGGACGGCAGGAGAGAGATCACTTGATCATTACCTGTTAGGTTCACTCTCTCTAGGGCACCTGGCATTGGCACTGTTGGTAGACAGGATACTGGGCTAGATGGACCTTTGGTCTGACCCAGTACGGCTGCTCTTTTGTTCTTATGGTAGGTTGTTTGTCAGCGGCCCAGGCTGGGAGCTACAACAGCAAAGCATTGTGAGGAACCCAGGATTACAGGGCAGGTGGTGACACAACCTTTCGGGGGTCTGGATTCCACTCCCAGAATGTGACACAAGTATCCATCAAATTCAGTTGATCTCATTTGTTTTCTGTTACTTGTGCAGGGTTTCCAGTTTCCAAACCTCATGTGATCTCCTGGCTGGAGCAAGGGGAGGAACCATGGGTCCCAGACCTCCAGGACTCTGAGGAAAGAGAGACCCTGAGAGATGCCTGCACAGGTGAGGAATCAGTTAAACCAACTCAAAATCTGTCCCTGAATTAAGGAAATATTTGGGATTCCTACAAAGCCCTTGTGAGCTTTCTGAGTTCAGGATTGTCCTCAGGAGGTGTGGCATCCTCATGGCAGACTTCACTTATGGCTTCCTACCTGTCCTGACTCTCGCCTGATATTAGCTCCCTCCCCAGTCTGCTTTTTCCCTGAGTGTTTAGTTGAAATTTAGACCCAGAGTTGTTCCCCTCGTCTCTCTCATTTGGGGAAAGGTTTGGGGGAAATTCAGCTTTCTTTGTTTGATCTCTCCGTCACTCACTTTTGTTTGTTCCCCCCTTTCTTCCATTCCTCTCTCTGAGGTTCCCTTTTTCTCTGGCAAAGGGAGTGACCTGTGTCTGGTTTCTCTCTCTATCCTAGCAGATGATGGGATGGCGAATGAGGTGGAGAATCCTCAACGAGACGATGCTGAGCAAGTAGAAGCACATGGGACATTCTCAGAAAGATCCAAAGGGAATGTTTCCTGGAGTTGTCCACAGGCAAACAACTGTGAGAGTCAGCACAGACCAGGGGAAAAGTTCAGTAGAGGTTCAGACCTTATTAGACATGAGAGAATGAACACAGGAGAAACACCGTACATCTGCCTGGAGTGTGGGAAAACCTTCAAACATAACAATGCCTTTATCATACATCAGAGAATCCACACTGGAGAGAGACCATACACATGCCTCGAGTGTGGGAAAAGCTTCAGTCGCAGCTCAAACCTTACCACACATCACAGAATCCACACAGGGGAGAAACCCCACACGTGTCATGAGTGTGGGAAAGGCTTCGGTCGGAGCTCAGAGCTTATGTTACATAGGAGAATCCACACAGGAGAAAGACCCTACACTTGCTGTGAGTGCGGGAAAAGCTTCATTCGGAGCTCAGAGCTTAATAAGCACCAGAGAATCCACACTGGAGAGAGACCCTTCAGATGTACTGAGTGCGGGAAAGTCTTCAATAATAGGTCTCAGCTTGTCACACATCGGCGAAACCACACAGGAGAGAGACCCTACTCATGCCTTGAGTGTGGGAAAGGCTTCACTTCTAGCTCACATCTTGTCTCGCATCAGCGAATCCACACAGGTGAGAGACCCTATTCATGCCCTGAGTGTGGGAAAAGCTTCATTTCTAACTCACAGCTGGTCTCACATCGGAAAATCCACACAGGAGAGAGATCCTATTCATGCCCTGAGTGTGGGAAAAGCTTCAGTCATAGTTCACAGCTTATCACACATAAGAGAACCCATACGGGAGAGAAACCGTACACATGTCCTGAATGTGGGAAAAGCTTCAGTCAGAGCTCTGCCCTTGTCACACATCAGAGAATCCACACAGGTGAGAAACCCTACACGTGCCTTGAGTGCGGGAAAAGCTTCAATCGGAACTCATTGCTGATCATGCATCAGAGAATCCACACAGGTGAGAGACCCTACACGTGCCTTGAGTGTGGGAAAAGCTTCATTCGGAGCTCATTGCTGATCATACATCAGAGAATTCACACTGAGGAGAGACCTTACAGATGCCCTGAGTGCGGGAAAGCCTTCATTTGTAGCTATCAGCTTGTTTCACATCGGAGAATCCACACAGGAGAGAAACCCTACTCATGCCCTGAGTGTGGGAAAAGCTTCACTGATAGATCACAGATGATCAAACATAAGAGAAGACACACAGGGGAGTCCCCCTACACATGCCCTGAGTGTGGGAAAAGCTTCAGTTCACACTCACACCTTAACGCACATAAGACAATTCACACAGGAGAGAGACCCTACACATGTTCTGAGTGCGGGAAAAGTTTCCGTCAGAGATCAAACCTTATCGAACATCAGAGAATCCACACAGGGGAGACGCCCTATAGCTGCCCTGAGTGTGGGAAAAGCTTCCGTCGGAACTCAGAGCTCATCATACATCAGAGAAACCACACAGGAGAGACGCCCTACACATGCTCTGAATGCGGGAAAAGCTTCAATCAAAGAGCAAACCTTATCACACATCAGAGAAACCACACAGGAGAGAGACCCTACACATGCTCTGAGTGTGGGAAAAGCTTCATTCGGAAAGGAAACCTTATCACACATCAGAGAAACCACACAGGAGAGAGACCCTACTCATGCTCTGAGTGTGGGAAAAGCTTCAACCAGAGAGCAAACCTTATCACACATCAGAGAAACCACACAGGAGAGAGACCCTACACATGCTCTGAGTGTGGGAAAAGTTTCATTCGGAAAGGAAACCTTATCACACATCAGAGAAACCACACAGGAGAGAGACCCTTCAGATGCCCTCAGTGCGGTAAAGGCTTCACTTCTAGCTCACGGCTTGTCTCACATCAAAAAATCCACACAGGGGAGAAGCCTTAGTCGTGCCCTGTATGTGGGAAAGGCTTCAGTCATAGTTCATGGATCATCACACATCAGAGAATCCACACAGGAGAATAACACTATACTTGTATTCAGGAGGGCTGCCCAAAGATTTTTTGTTTTGGGTTTTGTTTTGGTAATACGTTGGCTAATTCCCACATATTGGTCTTTAAGGTCGATTGCACCATTTCCTTTACTGTAGTCTCTCAGCTCCCTTCTGGTGAGTTGCCGCCTTCTATCTTTTGCAGCTCACCTTACTTTGGGGTGAATCCTGTGAACATTTCTATCAACTCCTTTGTCTTATGAGTTATGGGAATGTGTGTCCCTCTTGACAGAAATGTCCATCAATCCGAGTTGGGAGAGAGAGGGTTGACCTCATCTAGCTACAGTGAGATAAAAACTATCTGTGCCTTGTCTCCACCAGAAGTCTACATTGAGTAGGCCATGTCTACACTACCACTTATGTTGGCAAAACTTATGTCGCTCAGGGGTGTGAAAAAACCCCACTCCTGAGTAACATAAGTTTTGCCGGCATAATTGGCAGTGTGCACAGCGCTATGTCGGTGGGAGAGCTTCTCCCGCCCACATAGCTACCACCGCTCAATGGGAGTAGTTTAATTATGTCGACGGGAGAGCTCTCGCCCACCACCATAGAGCGACTTCACAAGAGATGTTACACCAGCGCAGCTGCATCACTACAGTTGTGCCACTGTAAGGTCTCGAATGTAGATACAGACTAAATTGCTCAAATTAGCTATCTTGGTGTAAAAACACAACTATCTTTTCAGGGCAGACATAACCCAGGTGCAGTGGTGTGGTTAGCTTTCCCCTTGTGCTAACCTGATCTCCATCACCCTTCCTAGTCCTGATAAATCCTGAGCATCACATTGCAAAGTGAATGTTAGTCACCAGATTTCCTGGTTGGGCGAGAGTCTCATTCCCAGGTTTTCTGACATTACTTGTTGTTGTTCTGAAGAGGAGGTAGTTTTTCTACCAGTTTTCTGATTTAGAATATAGTGAGATGTAATTAAAAGGCAGGAGGAAAGGTAGAAAAAAAGTATCATTTCAGCCTTTCCAGATGGAAAGATTGGCTGATTTGCCCTATTATGATCATGCTAAAACCTTTGTAACTAACATGATGTGATGTTATTGACATAAACTGGGACCATATAGATCATTGTTGCAACCAAGGTCCTGTAGTGGCACCCAAATCTTG